TTAAAGCTCATTAAGAACTGGGTTTATGGGTATAATTAATAGACCGTGCAGCAATTATTGGCTCTTAGAGTTATTGAAACGTCTTCCATTATATGCCAAAATGAGCTCGTATTTTACGATTTTCATTCTTCATGTACATATTTTCATAAAAAATAATAGTAGATTTGTGATCTCCATCAAAAACTGGATCCAGAGACATCCAGGTGAAAGAATCTGATACCGGAATCTATCGGATCCGACCATCCGATAGAATATGATGGGATTCCGGGAAACGAATCTACTAACGGATCCAACGGATGAAACCTATTTAATTAATTAAGTGCTAATCACTAACTGGTGGCAATAGTAGAGGTCAGTCATAGCAGGGCGTTGGATTCCGTCGAATTCCGACAGTAGGATCCCATCGGATTCTAACACTAGGGATCTGAATGTCGTTTTGTTTCCCGGATTCCGATAAGATTTCGTCGGTTTTTAGGAATTCACATAAAATCCGAGTCGGTCCTATTGTCGAATTGAATCTTCTGCGCATGTCATTTGTATAGTTTTGATGAAAAAACTTTTTCGAAAAAAATCCTGGGTGAGTACAATGGAGATCACGAATCTACTATTCTTTTTTATGAAAATATGTATATGAAGAATGAAAATCGTAAAATACGAGCTCATTTTGGCATATAGTGGAAGACATTTCAATAATACTAATAGCCAATAATTGCTGTACGGCCTATTAATTACACCCATAAATCCAGTTTTTAATGAGCTTTAATTTGGTATGTAATACTTTGTAATATAATTTACAATTGAATTTGCTAGAAAGGGGCGTAATGGTTAAGTAACACCGTATACATTTCGTGAAACAGGAAGACCCTTACTTAAAGTATCTCAAAACATTTTCAGAATTATGAGACTTGTTTATAAGGAAAAATTCAAGTTGCAATTGCATCATTGACTTGATATCTTATTAATTCCTGGTCGTTATTTAAAGATTCTACAAGACAAATCTTTTTTCTAGAGAAAACACAAGTATTCAGTTGCCATTGGATGACATGAATAACTTGATAAAGAATCTTTTAATTGTGTTATGAATAATACGGGTAACAATTAAAACGTCAATCGAAACAATGTGAATGAATTTTATTTATCTGTAATATATGTAGGACTTACAATTTGCCAAGTTTAAAGTTGTTCGTCCCAATAATTTGTTTCAATATTTAATAGTTTTGAAAAGTTTAATAACTTATTCTGTAAAATACCTTAAAAAGAAAGTCGCTCGATACATAAATTTGAATTTATAAATATTTATCCTTCATCAATGTTTCAAACCAGCAGTAGTCACAAATAACCATTTCATATTAGAAAAAAATTGAGAATCTTCCAAAAGATTCAGTTACAAATACCATGATGGGAAACAAGTATATTTACTAAGATCTTCTTATCAAAAGCCTTACCTGCTAAGCTGTACTAGTCTCCTTTTCTTCCTGATTGTCACGCTTAAGATGTTTATTTTGAAATTAGGGACGACCAAGATACTTCTGATCAGAGTAACTGTGTTACATTTTTTGTCTCTACTATGGAAACTATTATTTGTGCAATAATAACAGTATAAATAAACCTGAGAAAAGAGATCATTACTACTATCAATAGGAGAAGATCATCTCATAATAAAAGTTTCCTCTCGAAGGAGCAATGCGGCGAACGTACTAGAAAAATCCTGCCCTAATCAATTAAAACATTTACACTTTAGTTAACATATGTAATCGAAAAATATTCCTAGCTTGCGAGTTTTTTTGCTGAAAATCATAACAGTCTGAAGTAAAAATACGTTCTGTTTTTTTTAGCTCTGAAGAATGCTTCAAAATCCTTCGAACCTTAGTCGTTTTCAGGAAAACCTTGCAATTAGTAATAAGTAAGAAAAGTGAAACTCTATAGAAATCCACTCTAAAACTATTGCGCACTTATATACAAGAGAGTAACAGGATCTTCTATTCTAAGAAAAAACTGGCTTGATCTCATATGGATCAGAGATAATATTAATCTCGACTATGAAACAAAACATCTTTTATTAACATTGGTAATACACATTTTCATAGAATTTGAGTCTAATCATTTATTCATTAGTGTAGGCCGAATATTAAAATTTTCTTTCTAGAATAGGAACTACTGGTATTCATAAAGAATGCATCAGAAATTTTCGTTCATATAGTTTTTTAAAAGAGAAACGAATAGTTAATTACTGTGCTGTTCAATATTAAATTCTTAAAATAAATAGATGATTTTTTGTTAAATATAAAACAATCATATACGACTGATTAATTATTTGTTTCCACAAAAAAAATGTTTATTCATCCACCAATTTAGAGCTGTCTTTACAATTATTATAACGTTTAACTAATTTTTAAGAACAGAAAATTAAGAATACTTTTTCTAACTAATGACACTGGAAACAGTGGAAAAAATCGTTAATTTACCATAAAAACTGTCAAGACGTCATTTATTTTTTTCGTTGAAAATCTCTTTTGTTATTATTAGAAAGAATCAGAGACCGAATCGAACCGAGTTTTTCTGAATCGAGTTCAGGTTCGGTTCGTTTTCGGTCACTGGAAAGAATAAAGGAAATGAATTGAAATTTTCTAATTTTTGTTATATATTAATTTATTCTATTTTCTTGTGTTAATTAGGTGAATCAGCTGAAAATGTTACTACAAAGAAACAAGATTCATCCACAACTTCAACGGATTCAATTGAAACATTTCAATTAGATTTTCATCGTGTTCACGTTCATTTCTTATTTTCGGAACAAGAGAAAAAAGCTATATTTGAACGTTTTAATGAAGCAAAACAATTTTTGACAAATGTTATTTCAGCTGATCCTCGTTGTACCCGAGTATGGGCAAATATTATTGCCGATGCTTATGAAAAAATTACAGTACATTCATCAACATCACAAATTATTCAACTACTTTTTAGTACATCAACTATCACAACATCTAGGTTACAAGAATTGATTGCAACAAAAACTATTATCACCATTGTTCATCCGGATGCAGCAGCAAATCCATTGGTTCTTGATCCAGTTAGAACCAAGGAATATGCAACAACAACAAGATTTGAATATAAAGCCTTAATTGCAATCAATCCAATGGTATTTAACAATGAAACAACAAGTAAACATTTTATTATTATGTAAATACAGTGGGCCAAGAAATTATTGGAAATCTTGCATCTAATCAAAAAGGCAGACTGTTTGCCAGCGAATGCAAGGTCAGATTTTCATTCTGATTTCGCCAGAATGTAGCCCTATATTCTGCCTAACTACAGTGCAGATATCAAGGTCAGGATCCAAAAACTTGAAGCGTGAGACCATGATTTCTGGAAAACTTGTGTTTTTCAAAGGAAAAAATTATTGGAACATCTGCATGTATTGAGTTCCAGTTTCTCTCCAATGACACGAATATGCTTCTATAATATACCATTGGAAAGAGAAAAATGCTTCTCTTCATGATGAGGTACTTTTGACAAAAAATTGAACTTGAAAATAAGTCGAAAATTTAAAAATACCAAAGGGTCTCTGGGTTTTTAGAAAACTTAGGTTTTGAAAATTTTAACTACATCAATTTTCAACTTCAAATACACCATTCGAAAGTGCATCAAAAACTGAGTCTACAGATGTGTTTCATGATCCTGGATAGAACTCAAATATAAGGAAAAAAGGTAGTTTTTGTTTTTTCAGCTCACTGACGAATTACGTTTTGAATTTTACCAATGCTAAGAGACATGTAAAATTTTTCTGTAAGTGCAGTTTTGTAGAGCATTTCTTTCTTTACAAGTTGATTATCTTCTTAGTTGCAACGAAATTAAACTGTAGTTCGTTCAGACCCTTCTTCTTGTTTGACAATCCTACGCAGAAAGAACATATTTTTCTTCCTGTTCTGTGTGATATAGTTTTTTTCGCTGTGCATGGAATTGTCAAACAAAAAGAAGGGTCTGAGAGAACTACGGTTTAATTTGGTTGCCAGTAAGAAGATAATCAACTTGTAGAGAAAGAAATTTTCTACAAAACTGCACTTACAGAAAAATTTTACATGTCTCTTAGCATTGGTAAAATTCAAAACGTAATTCGTCAGTGATCTGAAAAAACAAAAACTACCTGTTTTTCCTTATATTTGAGTTCTATCCAGGATCATGGAACACATCTGTAGACTCAATTTTTGATGCTCTTTCGAATGGTGTATTTGAAGTTGAAAATTGATGTAGTTAAAATTTTCAAAATCGAAGTTTTCTAAAAACCCAGAGACCCTTTGGTATCTTTAAATTTTCGACTTATTTTCAAGTTCAATTTTTTGTCAAAAGTACCTCATCATGAAGAGGAGAATTTCCTTTTTCCAATGGTATATTATAGAAGCATATTCATGTCATTGGAGAGAAACTGGAACTCAATACATGCAGATGTTCTAATAATTTTTTGCTTTGAAAAACACAAGTTTTCCAGAAATCATGGTCTCACGCTTCAAGTTTTTGGATCCTGACCTTGATATCTGCACTGTAGTTAGGCAGAATATAGGGCTACATTCTGGTGAAATCAGAATGAAAATCAGACCTTGCATTCGCTGACAAACAGTCTGCCTTTATGATTAGATGCAAGTGTTTCAATAATTTCTTGACTCACTGTAGAAAAAATCAGAGTTTAAAAAAATTTTTTTTTTTGATCTTATTCACTGATTAATTAGAGTAGTACATTATAATGAATCAACTTTCATTTTGACCATTAAAAGATTTAGAAAACTGAATATGTTTCGTTTTGTTTGTTTCAGTTCATGGAAGTCGTATTTCTCGTGAATCATGCACTTTGTTTTTGGCTATTCTTTTATCACATGAAATTACTCATGCAGTTAAATATATTGGTGAAAAACAAAAAACTACACCAGAATTATCATTTTTTAGAACATATTCAAGTCCTGATGAATATGATGGTGGAAATGCATTGGAACACGAATTGTTTTGTGGTGAAATGCATATTAATCGTGATTGTACATGTACTGATGTTGAATTGTTTATCATTGAAGCAGATGGCTGATATTTTAAACTCTCACCATCAGATATTAATAATTGTTTAACAAACAATAGTCTTCAATCATTATCATTATTAGTTCGTCGATTAGGATTAAAACGTCAACGTATAAATGATAGTAGAAAAACTCATTATGATTATTCCGAATCAACTGATTATGAAAATAAGAACGATGAAGAACTTGTACCTCTACTTCGTTATCATACACGAACAAGTGTTTTTAAAGAAATGGATAATGTTAATCCAAATGAATATTATCAATCGTTGTTAAAGTACCACTGTAAAAAAGACACTTCGCAAGCTGAATCTCCAGATGATCCACTATTATCATGATATTATCGTTTCTCATGCACTTAGGATTTTTCAAAAGTTTGATAAAATTAAATAAAAACAGGGGTCGCCGCGACATAATACAAGAAAGATAGAATTTCGAAAGGAATTTTTCAAAGAAAAAGAAGGAAAACGAGGAAAACAAGCAATATCCATTGAAGCACTGCTTGTGAAAATAGGAAAGTGTAAAAAAACGTCTAGTAATAATAGATGGTATTAGAGCTCGAACAAAAAAATCATTTTGAAATCATGATTTGGTCACTCTGCAAGATCTCAAATCGATTCGATAATATGTGAGAAGAGAAGAGAATACTCGAAGATGACCTGTTGCGTTTCGGTAATTGAGAACAAATATTATTTTGTTATATCAATCACTTTAATTACTCTTGATAGCTTTTATTAGATCAAATGCACGGCTTCACGTTGCTGGTATCACAAATGTTCGTGAATGATAAAGTCTGCACGTGAATAGGGTATGATACATAGAGATGAGCGGAACCAAGATGAATCGTGAAAATGTAGGTTCGTAATAGCGGTTGTTTTTCATCGAAAACTCGACTCTTCTTTTTTTTTATTTACCTAAACAAAAACTTTCTGAAATTTTCGAAAGTATATCCTTCACGTTTCTGAATTTTCTAATTTTATTTTCATTTTACGATGGGGATCGAGACTTTTCTAAAACGAGTTTGCAGACGAGGACAAAAAATCCGAAGAATTTAAGGGACTATAGTAGTGGCAAAAAGTTTAGCAACAACGTATGTTAAATTTTTTGCTGTAATTTTAAGCACCTAGCTCAAATCCAAATAGCGACTTTAATAGTTAATGAAGTGCTCTATCAAATGCATTCTATACCAAGATTTCATAGGTAACTCACGATGGCCATATTGGGTGTGGGCTTGGGGTGTGGAGGTGAGATGACACTGAAGAGAGCTGCCTCAACGCCCACTCAGGATGTGAGTGTGGGTGTGAATCTGCATCTAGGCCTGTGTGTTGGTATTTCTTTCACTCACACCCAAGATAGAGACGAAATGTTTTTGTTTTGCTGATTCATAAAGGGTGCAACAAATATCCATGTTTCTATTCATTTACGCAAATTGAAGGAGAATCAGAAGGCCATCACTGTCATCCTCATTATCATTAAAATGAACAAGCAAAATTTTAAACGATATGCTAGTGGCACATCGCCGTCTACGACAAGTAAGCCAAATAAGTCATCCACAGCTGCAGCACCAACGATAGTTGTGAGTAGAAGAGCTGGGTGTGGGTATGAGTGTCTTTTATTGTTGAACATCCACGTATACACCCTATTAGAGCTGTAACAGTATCAAGAAGCGATGAATATTAATGTGTCTATTCTTATCTACATAAAACTGTGCATTGGTATAAATAGAAAGTTTTTTTTTTGTAAAAGACTTTTTTTTGTTTAGTTTAGAAGAAGTCGATGACCATATAAAGGTTATACCTTCAATAATAAGTTGTTTCGTTGCAATAGGATTGTTATCAGTGACTATTATGATCATATCAACGATGAATTTCTTTCTTTATCACCATCTATCGTTGTTTGGCATCAAATAAAATCACTTAGTATTATACTCAACCATTCAATTCAACTTATTCTTTGTCTTTTTGCAAACGACTAATCTACGTACTCTGGAAATGCATTATAGATCAGAATATGATACTAAAAGTTATTTGAAAGAGGAAAATTTAATGTATCTATTCGATAATATTTCTTTGTGCAGAATGCTCATGTCAAATGGCTTACGATAACTCAATCTTTTTCCTGTGTCGTAACAACCAAATTTGGTAAATATTGCCTATTTAATTGTCGAGCGACTTCCTCATTTACAAGTCATTGAAGTATCACATTTACTTATCAACGATCTTCCGAAATTAAAATTTCTTACTATTAATGGCGAAGATGAATATGATCAACTTTATGAGAAACAATTGCATGATCTGCAAAGTTCAAATACTCATTCTTTTCGAACAGAAATTCGTAACACAATAGATGAGGATACACTTTTTGTATGATTATAATAAAATGAAACTGCCAATATTTCTTTATTTCTTTGTAGTTACACTTGTTTTTGTGAAAGAATTAT